CCCCCCCCCCCCCCCCCCCCCCAACCGCCCCCTACCCCGACCCCCCAACATGGCATGCATATTCGCCTGGACGGGTTCAATATTCCGCCTCCCGAACTCCGAAATAAAGCACCCCACCCGACTATCTACGAGATAACGAAAACAGGTAAACAGACCAACACAAAACACACAACACAACGTGCATTTCGTACAGCTGTCATGACTTGACATTCGCTTGCGGGGGGGGCGTTTGATCGAACCCAAGTACGCTTGTGCTCAATCGACGACTAATTGGGTGTATGCACAACATTAGCAAATGCATACCCAAAAAATGACGGCAGCACAGACAACACCTTCATGGCACCATTGCATTTCATTTCAGGAGAATACACCAAAACACACGCTGGAGAGAAAGAGGGAGCCGATTTCGATTGAACACATAAAATACCGAAAAACAACAACATTAAAGACAACACTTTTATTACACCTCTGCATTTCATTTACGACAAAGACACAAAGAAACGAGAGAGAGAGAGAACGAAATCGATGTCGTCATGTAAAAAAGGAAAGTGCATACTGCACTTCATCGATGCCAATTACAATTCAGAGTTGACGGAATCATCCGTCCCGTCACACGATCGAGGCCAACAACAAACGAAACGAATAATGTAAAAAAAAAAAAAAAATTAAAAACGAAAACAAATTTCACAGAAGGACTCATCCACTGAATCGGACCAGTACCCAATTCCTTGGCCAGCACCGCCATTGGGGGAACGGCACATTGACGACGACGGCGATGGCTAAGCTCAGCTACATCGACGATGGAAAGACTATCACTTTCGCTCCGTCCAATTCCATGCAAGCGAACAGAGAGCACAACAGAGGCGACACTACGTCTAACGTTTGCCGATGGCCTTCGCTATCTCCAGCAAGGCGTGACACATAAGCTTGCTGACTTCGTCTGACGCTGCGTAGTGTTTTTTCTGCACTTCGATCTCCGCTTCCAGCGCCTCGCACTGACGTATGGCGATGGAGCAATGACGTTTGTTGTTGCTCTCCTTCGTTGACACCATTAACGCCCCGTGCTTCTCCATGCACTCCATCATTGCCTCAAATGTTTGCTGCCTTGTGCTCTTCCTCTTATCGAAACCGCCTGCGCCACCCGTCATCTGCGAAGAACCTTTGGTGGACCCGTCGTCGTCGTCGTCGTGCTCTGCACCACCGTCCCCGTCGCCCACAGATTCAGGATCCGGAGAGGAGGCGGACAACAGACGCACACCACCCTGAGCGCCAGTGTCCGCGACGTTCTTCGGGTTTATGGTGTGGTTCTTGGCGGTCGACCCCAGTATCTCGTCGTAAACCGCACGATCCATATTGAAACTGAAGCCCTTTGACATCCTGTCCTTCCCAGACAATTGGAAGAAGTCATGTTTCCCGGTTAGTCCTTGGAAATGATGAACCTTCTTGAACTGCTGCATCAGATTGTCCCACTTTTTCCCGCACCGATCGACCTCTCTGTCGACGCCCACCTTCTTCAACCTCGTCGCCACATCTAGCCATTTCCATTCTCGCGGCTTCATCCGAGTGTACGCGTGGCCCATCCCCTGCAAATGCGCATCCTGATCACGTTTAGCCCGGATGAGGGCTATAATGTCGTCGACGGACCAGAAGTGACAACCTCCTTCACCATCGACGTCACCTTCGGCATCGCTGCCCTTGCCTGCCGTCCTTTTGCCCCGACGACCATTACCGCCACACGACTTCGTCTTCCCGCCCCTCCCTCCCATAGCGGCCGCCTGCTTCGACGGCGAAATGTTGCCTGCGTCGTCCTCCCAACCTTCAGCGCCGTTGTCGTTCCAGTCGGGGTCGTGCGCGTCCGCCCCTGCTTCCTCGCCGTCGTGCCCGTCTTCCCCAACACGCAATCGCTGCACCCCCCGAGTTATGGACTCCTCCCGCACTGACCTCATCAACCGTCGTTGTTCTGCCCACACCTCCCTTTCGTCACGTGCGTCACCAACATCAGCAACGACAGGCGCCGTCTCCCTACACTCGCCAACACGACGACCTGCACTCAAACCGGCGGACAGGGGAGACGGAGACTGCATCCACTGGGGGCGAGCGGAGGCACCCCTACACACAGACGGCGACCGGAATTGCTGCCTAGGAGGATCGTTGTTGTTCCCCGAAGCCTCCCGCAGCGGCGCTGGAGACCTGGGTGATCGCTGAACAGCCGTCACGTCGCTGCCATCGTCGTCGGGATGGGGGTTCACGACGACCGTTTGAGAGATGACTGCCGACCTCCCGCTGCCGAGTCCAAACGACAGATTCACGCCGCCATCGCCATCGGTGTCACTGAGCCCCTTCTGGAGGAGTTCGGTGTACGACTGCCCTTTACCGCCGTCGCGGCTTCCAAACAGCTCTGTAGCCGCCCACTCCTGGGTGGATCCGCTTCCCAGGGGCACGGTCCGTGACCATCTATCGTCCCCTTCCTCGTCGTCCTTGTCAGGCAGAGGTTGCAAGTGCGGTGGCAGGTGCGCGTGCCTGGACCGCTCCGACGGCCTTGGACTATTCGACGGGCTGTGCTCGGACCACCGCCCACCGCGCTCCACTGCGGACCCGCTGATCGCTTTCCAACCCTCCATTCTGTCGTTGTTCTTCACACACCTCCTTCTGCGACCACGTCACGGAAGGCCGTCGAGGATGCACACGTGGAAGACAACCAGGAGGAGGAGCAATAGGACGACCAGCAGCAGCAGCGGCAGCCTCCGAAAGACGTCGGCCATGAAAAGCACGTGGATGACAGTGGCAGCTAGTAGACAA